TGAACAAAGATGTTCTCATTTTTTTCAACTTTTTTTATTATATTCTCGATCATTGTTGCGTCAAACGGAAATCCAGTTTATAACATCAATAATATTACTGATATTGATAATTCTGACTCCCAATCTCATGTTTTATGTAATGACAATGATTTGTTAACTGACAATAACAATTTATTTGAGGTAAATTTCGAAAATTACAATAAAATTTATTTTATTTATAAATTTAGCTTTTAAATAACGATCGCTATTGGTTTGTATTAGCCAGAAGTAAGTTTATCTATGGTGAACGAACATGGAATAATGTTCTTATGCAAACGTCAACAACAATCAATGATACAATTTATATAGAATTTATTGGAGAGAATAGGTAATTATTTTTTCCTAAACTTATCTTCTCTTTTTCCTCATTTTTTTTCCTGACAAATGATTTATTTCGTTTAATTGTTTTCTTGTTAGTAATGATTCTTGTGTTAATTCTCGAAAAGGTCAGATTGTATCAAATACAAAATCAAATCGAGTATCTGTTCGTTGGCCGAATGAAAGAGGTAATTCATGTACAAATTCTTTCTTTTCAATTGTTATTGTTTTATTTATTTTTGTTAAAATAAGGTTTTCTTGAAATCCTCTTTATTGATGAAGCTATGATACATTTTATTCTTTGCTATTCAATTGAGTCAAATCAAACTGATGTTTGTACTCATAATCAAAGTGAACATTTTGTTATTCAGAATAATGAACAAGAACATGGAAATGATACAATGTTATGGTTAAAATCTCATTGCTCTTCGATTAATTCAGACGATTTTCTTGTTAACGATAATCCAAGTATTGAGAAGAAAAATAAATATCTTTTTCAATTTGTCATATACGTATTAATTTATTTATAGAAAAATGTGCACCAGTTTCTTTTCAACCAGAAATCGTTGAAAGTGATGCTTTTGAACAACCAGTTGAGACCAGCAGCCGAAAAGTTTTCGAAACGAGTAGATAAGATATTGTTTTTTTTTTTTTTAATTTTTTTTATGTTTTAATTTAGCATATTCAGAAGTTATTGAACAGGAAACTGTTGCAGTAACATCGATGCCTGAATTTGATTTTACTACACGTACAAATCGAACAAATCGATTAGAAGTACTTGAAGAATATTACAATAATGTTACTACAAATTCAACGAATGAAGATCAACTCGAAGAAACCATACCAATGAAAACCAAACAGATTGTTGTACTTGCAATGAATACATCATCTAGCCAACAATCCGATCAAACAAATTTGACTAATGTCGAACAAAATGGTAAGCAAAAAAAAAAACGAAATAATCATTCTCTATTAGCAACTCATGGAAAAATATGTATAAAAAAAACTTATAAATACATTCTGAAGAGTTTTGTGTATCTCTTACGCAAAAAATGCTTTCTGCCAGTCTTATAACGTGATGAACAAAGGACATGTTTGAACACACTCTCGAAAAACAGGTTTTTATCAATTAGGAACACGTTTAACAAAAAAACAGCTCTTCGTTGTCAAAAACGCGCTCGACTGAATTACGTCCCTCTTGCTAAACGACAAAAGCATCTTTGACAACGCAGAACTATTTTTATTGAACATGTTTTCTTGTTGATAAAAGCTCATTTCGTCGAGAATGGATTCAGATATGTTCTTTAATCATCTTAATTTTATTATTCATTGAAAAGATTAAGGTATAACATGAATATAATTATTATAGATGCCTTTGATAGAAAAAATTCGTAAGTTTTTTTTTTCTGATTAATATCTCTTTGAAAAAATCGATATTGAACCAGATACATTCGAATCGCAAGAAAATTTCATGATATGTTGAGGTTATAGCGGAAACACTATGCTAAAATTTTTAACGTTATATCATGACGTTTCTGGGAGGTATTTAACAAATAAAGCTAGAACATAGATCCTTTGACAAACCAAAATTCTCTGTGGATCTTCATTGTGTACACTTAATTTTTTTTTCTGACAGAGCATGATAGATCCCACTATTATAAAATTCTTAATTTTTAAGAAGAGAAAAGTTCGATGTCTCCAAAAAATGGCACTCTAATCATGAAAGCAATTTTTCATATAATAGAAATATAGCTAAATTGAAAAAAGAGGCTCTGTCACACCTTACATCTTGACATGCTCTTTCAAACAAAATGACGAAAATCTTTGGAAAACAAACGAGGTGTTAACTGAAAAAAGACATGTGATTTATGAAAGATCATGCTTCGAGTTATCTTTCTATGTATTTTTCTCAGTTTTCGTATTCTTGAAGAAAACTGACTTTTTTTTAGGGATAGCTAAATCATGTTTCGAGATCGACATCTTTGCCTTTAATTATAAACGAATGATATTATATATTAATGAGATTGATATAGTTTTAGAATCTGTTGCGAATGAAACAGTCGATGAACAAGTTCCAGTGTTTGTGTTACACAAAGCCGTTATGGAAGAAACAACAACAAAAGTTTTACCAGATAATTCAGAAACGACACAAAGTTTTTCTAGTCGATTATTGGAAAAAAATGAATCGACTGACGTCAATATCCATATTACAACTGCAGTTAACCCTTCAAAAGTATCTGTTAGTCCAACTACTGAAAAAGAAATTTTAAATCAACCGACAACATCTCTTCATGTCGAAGATTCTACTATCTTAGTCAATACAGACTATGAAAAAAGTACTACTATAATTGAAGCTACAATTGAATTAACTACTACTGAATCAACAACATCCACAACTGTTGTGCCTGCTGATTGTACAGTTTTAAAATATTGTCCATTTGATTATTGTACGTTTGCTCGCAAGTTTGATATTCATGCATGTCCAACATGTAATTGCATTCAAGCAAATAAATCAAACATAATCTGTCCAACATTGACTTGTCAAGAATGTCTATATGGACATTATACAGATCCTTATGGAGTATATTTATCTTTATAGAAAATGATTTCCAGACATTTACTTTTTCTTCATTTTCTTTTTCAGTGTCCTATTTGCCAATGTCAAAATCGTCCATTTCCACCATTAGGTGAACGTTGTCCACAATTAAATTGTGAACCATGCTATTTTGGCACAGTTAAAGATGAATATAATTGTGATACATGTGTGTGTATTCGACCTAATAGTCAAGAATGTCCTGTACTTAATTGTACATTTGGACCATGTAAATATGGTTCAGTTAAAGATGAAGATGATTGTCCAACATGTGATTGTTTATTACCAACAATAAATACAACTGAAGTTAATTGTTCAACACCTCTATCATGCCCTCCATGCCATCTTGGTGAATAGATAAAGAAAATTAACATAAAATATAAAAACAATTTCTTTTGTTTTTTCGAATATTAGGCTATGTAACCGATGCTGATGGATGTCAAACATGCCAATGTAAATTTCGTGGTAGTGCTCCATGCATATCAATATCGTCTGACTGCCAATGTGAGTATGGATCCTATTTAAATTCTGATGGATGTGAAACATGTTCATGTTTACCTGATTCAAAAAGTGCATCACGGTAAATTTCAAATTAATTTATGTAAAATTTAAGATAAACGATTTTTTTTCAACAATAGTCAAGCATGTTGGGAATTATTGAATGAAGCAAATTTTTATAATGTATCTGGACCAAAATGTGGATCAGATGGATCATTTTATGCTCGTCAATGTGATATATCAGAATCGAAATGTTGGTGTGTTACACCGACTGGTATTCGTATTGATGAATTTGAATCAAAACCAGAAGAAAATGTTAATTGCGGTATATATATGTCTTCTTTTGTTGTTTTTTTTAGTCTAAGAAATATTTAATAAAATATTTTTCTTTCTATGTTTATAGCTTGTGCAGTCGAATTATATCAAGTATCAAGTCTTCGTATGATTGGCCATCATTTATTATGTTTATTAAATGGAAATTATGCTCCTATTCAATGTGATGGTCGTTATTGTTCATGTGTTGATGAAAATGGTAAATTAATTGGACCAACTGTATCTATTCAAAATCGTGATCAACTTCGATGTGTTGGTGTTTATCAACAACTTCATCCAGGTATGTAGAAATACTGTTAAATAAAATTAAAATATTCTTTGTTTCTATTGTTTCATGGAAAATAGAACGATTTTTATTACATCGAGCAATTCTTGAACAATCTAATGGAACTTTGTTTCCTTATGGGATAGCTTCATCATTATGTTTAACACATCTCGGACAAGTTCGTAATACAAAGATTATTGATGATCATATTCTCATTCCTGTAAGTATCGTTATTGTAAAAATAATAAAAAGAAAATGTAGTTTAATCAAGTTAATTTCCTTACAACATTTTTTATAAGCTAAAAAAGGTGAAAAGTAGATTTAGTTAATCTTCTGTCAAAAAACTAATAAAGCTTAAGGCTGTTTTTTTTAAGCGTAATATAAATATTGATTTTTTTTTCTATATCAATAGGTATGTGATGCTAATGGTTTATATGCATCTGTACAATGCGATCAAAGCGAACGGTATTGTTGGTGTGTAGATAAGAAAACAGGTGTTGAAATGGATGGTACACGTCGACTCAATGCTCGACCTAATTGTAACATTATCTAATCTATTCGAATAATAACTAATTGATTCTTTTTCTTTATATCTTTCTGATTGTTTTTTGTGTGTACATGAAGATATGTTTATCCTTCTGCAGTGTTTTCTTTTACAAACAGACATTGTAAGGTTTTCGTTTTTGTTTTGAATTATTTCTACTTAGTATCTAAACAGTTCAATAAAATAATTAATAATATGATGATATTGCTCTTATTCAAATAATGTTTATATATATATGGGGATGACCAGTCTGACCGGAGGACCCATTAATATATTTTTTATTGTAAGGATAAAATATACTGTTGTTCGGGCCAAGTCTAGGTTATCTGTGGTTCTCTCTCATATGACCCGAACAACACCATGTTTTATCCGTACAATAGTAGAGAAGAGTTACTAGCTCACACGGTAAACTAGTAACTTTTCTCTACTATTGTACGGATAAAACATGGTGTTGTTCGGGTCATATGAGAGAGAACGACAGATAACTTAGGATTGGCCCGAACAACAGTATATTTTATCCTTACAATAAAAAATATATTAATGGGTTCTCCGGTCGGACTGGTCATCCCCATATATATACTAGCTTCGTCCATTAGAAAATCTTGTTGTAATCGTGTTTCATTGTTAAAAAATACTCGAGCTGCATGAGCATCAAGTAACCATGTTCGAAGAATATTTAATGCTCGTTGTACATCTGCTGTATTTTCAGCATATAAAAGTCTTTTTCCTTCTAAATTTTTGCCACCAAGTAATTTCTGAAAATATTGTTTAGCAGGAAAATCTTTACGTGATGTTTTTGGTCCAATAATAAGTACTTGAACGGCTTTTTGTTCTGTTTCATTGAATAATTTTGTATATATGGGATAAACAACATTATGAAGTTGATCGAGTTGAACACGGACAGTATGTCTTATATTAATATTAATAAGATTTGTAGTTGTACGAGAAAATTCGTTTAATGCCGTAATATTTAATTGCTTTTGATCGAATTAAAGAACGAAGAAATTTAATTGATAAATCAATAATATTAAATTGTATTTGAAACATTTCATTATTTGATGAGAAATCCGAAATATTTAAAGATTTTTGAACCATACGAATTTCTCGTAAATATGATTTAAGTCTATTCAATTCATCAGATGAAAATTTTCAATTATTTAATACAATATTAAAAAGAATTAAATAAATTGCAATGGGAATATGTGAAATAGTTTTAAAATTGTGATATAATTATTGGTTTATTTTTATTGATGTTTGTTGTCCTCGATATTTCAATATTAAAATATCTGCATTTGTAATTATTATTGGATCGATGGTTGTTAAAAAATATTCATGAGCTTTTTTTAAATATATCCGAAAACAGACTGTTAAAGTTCTTTAGAAAAGTATTCGATAGAACTTAATATGTTGTAAGAAATAGAATAGTAAACAATGGCCCAACAGACAAATACATCTTACGAGATAAAAACACGACCAAAGTAGAAATTCAATAATACATAAGAAAGGAACAGATATCAACGATGATTAATGGTACATGATAAGATACATGTTGATGTTTTATACTCTCCGAGAAAATGTTTATCTTTACTTGTATAAGAAAAAGAGTTTCTTATGTGCCGTGTGCAGTTTTTTGAATGTCATAATGCTTCCGAAGTATTAAATAAGAAGTACTACCTAATACATAAATCAAAACTGCTTCGTACAATTCCATCTATCTCATCAGTATGAAGAGGGGAATTAGAAAAGATTAAATTGCTCTCTGGGAATATTCTAATATTATCCACTGCTGTCTCGAAAAGTTAAGTGTTACTAATGTTGATGTAAACTCTCTCTAAAGAAGACTAATGAGGTGTTGAGACCTTCTCCTACCAGAATCTTTTGTTTTGATTACACCATTACAACATATGCCATAATAAAGAAAGTTTCCTTTTTCTTAGCTCTAATCTAATCTAACAAAGACGAATTTTATTAATTGATCAAAAAGTCTATAAGACATCGGAAAAATTCCAAAAAAAAAATGGTTAGAAAATAGAATTTGAATAAAAAGAACATTGTTATTACTTGTTCAAGACTTTAGATCAACAGCGACGGAACTACAAATACATATTTATAATTCTTTTAAATCTTTGACGATAAAATTCTAAAGTAGAAAGTCTAAACAAAACAATTACAATTTTAATTATTTAGTAACAAACTTGTTAAAGCATCATTCAGTTCTTTGAAATACATCGAACTCTAGTATATGAAAGACTAAATTGATTCTACCTATCATATAAAACAAATGTCTCTTTTTACTCTTTATAGTGACTATAACGTGAAAATATGTTTTCATCAAGAAAGAGTCAAATATTTGTCTAGCAAACAATTGATTCGTCATTTCGAAAGTTTAAAATATAATTTTTTTTCATATCAAATACAATTCCTAATTTTATATAAATAAATTATTTTTAAAAAGCTCAATTTTCTTTTTTTGAATATATCAACGTGTTGACTAGTGTTCACATCTGCGATTTGATTTAAATAAAATGAAGACTCTCTATTGTTAAACAAGTTTGAATGATAGATGATTCATACTTTTGCTAGATATCAAACCAAAAAGTCTTTCAGTATAAAACTTCGTCCTCTTTCAACTCCATGAGCTGTCTGATGTATTTTAAATATAATAATTTTTTTATTCGCCATTTAGTAATGATTTTGCATACAATTGTAAAAATATCCGATGTGTACATTTTCATTTTGTAGTTTTTATTTGAGAATACACGTGACTTCAACATGAAATAGTTTCAGAAAGAACAGAACGAGTATTAATGAATCGTACTGATTGACTTCTCTTTGTTAAATATATACACAAATTTCTTTCTTTTTACGACGTTTNAAAACAAACAAAGAATATCTAGTACAGGCGCCAATCATGAATCTGAAGGTGGTACCATGAAAAATGTGATAGATAATCCGGCAACACAACCACAATCTCGTAAATACACTGAATATCAATCTCATTCAAATACTGGACGACGAAGCGGCAAATGCATCTCCAGTATATCAGATCATAAACCAGGTCATGGCAACTGTATTCATTGTCAGAAGAAGTGATTTGAATATTTTTTTTTTGTTCAATAAAACTAATATATATATTGTAGCTAGAAATATGAATACCAATAAAACATTGCTCTTAAAAACCTAAACGAAATTTTAGTTCACATAAAACATATATTTCAATAGGAATTATGCTTTTATTGTTGTACTAATAAATTCATACATATAACTATTACTTTTTGTATTTGTTATATTCAAAAGAATTTCACCTAAAGTTGTTGGAATTTGATAAACAATATTGACAGAGATTACGACAAATCATTTCCTTTTTTTTTGCTGTATAATATTCAAGGTTAAGTTGTGCGATATTTCTTTTTAGTGTACAATGTATGTGTTAGTGCTTTTAATTTTGTTCATTCACATGATGACAGAAACTAGGTTCTTCGTTTCGATTTCTAATTTCTCTCTCATGTTTTACAATACATTAGAGAAAATTATGTTCGATAAACAGTTGACTCGATTAATAAACATTAGCAGTACAACAGTCTACTAACAATGTAGCGCAAAGATCCTTGGCTTGACTATCAATGATACACAAGTAATTCTTTCTGATGTAATAGGTTCGATCCATAATATTATTCAGATAACATTGAGACTAACCAGTATTATGTTTTTTGACGTTTCTTTTATCTTTTTTTTTTATAGAACATTCTTGAGTAAGATTTCACATCTGTCACACAAACTGTAACCTATGATGAATAATAAAATTATTTCAAATGTACTAAACACAATGAGAAAAATGACTGTTTGGAAAGAATAGACTAAAATATTTAGTATTTCTTTAACTTATAGAGTTTAGTTGTTAAATTGAAAGCATTTTCATTGTATGACAATGATATTGAAGAGAATCATCTGTTTGATAAACATTTTTTAATACTACTCAGCGATAATTATAAGCTTTGAATAGTAAAATATTTTTACTTGATCGTCAATTGTTCTCATCTGCTTTTTATATAAATCCATTTATCTTCTGCTATTATACTTTCAAGGGCTATTAGACTATGTCTGTCATGAGAACAAGCTAAAACGATTGTTTTGATCTTCTTTTCATTAGTTAGACAGAATGATACTGTCGTATATAGGATAAATGTCATTTGGTAATTGGATAATAACGATGATAAATAAATGCGTTATATAATCGTTTCGTTAATTATGATGCAAAACAGAAGAATAATGCTAATAGCAATGAAATAACTGAATATAAATATTGAAAGAAGGTAAAAATATAAATTATTTGCGGTTGAAATGTTTAATTAAGTGTTCAATGGTGAAATAAATTTCCTTAGAGGAAAGTAAGAACTAATGTTGATTATATTTCTTCACATACGAGACAAAATCAAATAGAAAAAGAAAATTTATTAGATCATTGACTTTTTTCTTTGATCATTAATCTTAATTCTATTTGATTATTATATTTGCGATAAAGATTGACAAATATATTTACTTTTTTATCTGTCAATACGTATTTGAACTGAGTCATTTTTCAAAGATAAGATTCTACTCGATAGTATCATAATTTTTTCTTTTGACTTCGAGACTTGACAAGATAAATGTTTATTCTCTGCCAACAGGAATCGTTACTAACTTGATATGTTTGGTGACGCATTTTAGCTGAAAGATACGAACAGCTGTCATTTTAGCCACTACTACTATCATGGTCTTTTCCTTGATCTGTTTCTCATTGATTAATATTCCTGTTTTGAAGGATGATGAATGACGTGAGAATCAACACACAAATTCATAACTATATATATCTATCAATGTATTAAAATGAAACCAGAATACCAATAGAGAGAAACTTATAATGATAGAAAGATTTTGTTATATTAAGTCATATTTAGATCTTAGAAGTAATGAATTATGATAATCTTTCACCTAGAAAAATATTTTTAATAAGTAAAAAAAAAAAAGCAATCAATATATTATTAAACGATTCGATAATGAAATAATATCTGCAAGAGTGCGACATATTACAGCACTGATGTTCGTTAAATTTTGCATCACTACAATTTAAAATGATATATTTCAAGTTCTATAGATGATATCATTGACCATTTAAATTTTTCTATAAACAGTAGAATATGAATTTCTTTTGGAATGATCGTAATAACACAGTCTAAGATAAACAGCTAATAAATATTTAATGCATTATATTTTCTCAAGGATAGATCTTTTTTCTTTTTGTTTGTTCACTTTTATTTCATAGTTTTTTCTTTCAAAGACTATCTAAAATATTTTTGTTTTATTCTTATGCAATTTATTTCATGCAATCAATCATCTAATTTATATTGACGTTCAGAAATTATTCACTTGATACAGCGACCCTTACTCATAACGTGTATGTTTGTTTATTCACAAACTTATTGTCACTCACTCAATCATGTAGACAACTGTGTTCAAATGATTACCCACAGAGACATGTGCAATATTGTGTCGATCACGCAATACATATTTATACAATCGTAATAGTTGACATGTGTCAAGAGATTATTTGATTTTTATTTTTTATTGACGATAAGATCTTGATCGTTTTAATACACGTATGATAAAAAGATTTCTTAATATTGAAGAGAGTTTTAGTTTTTACAATGTGCCTATCAATACAAAAAGAAATGAGACTTTCCATGATGATAACGATAGTCAATATAATTATAAGATCGTATAAGTGTCAACTTTCTTTTCTGTGATGTAATCTAAATAGAATTGTATCTATGAACAAGTAAAATATATGCAAAGAAAATAAGTGAATACTTGTCCTTGTTCGGCCTACTTGACACTTTTCATGCACTTATATGCATACAACTTCATTTGTTCTCTTTTTGCTCTATATTTGTATATCATTTACTTCTTTTTTTATACTGCATATTGACACACTTGTGTATTGGTAACTATGTGCGTGTTCATCAATGTTACTTCCACATACTTATATGTATATGTATGTGTAGAGAAGTTGATCAAAACGATTAGTCTCATAATAACGATTATGTTCACATAGAACAAGAATTACGTTAACTGTTGTATCCACATTATAATGGTAACGATGAATATTGCATAATAAAGTTCAAGGCACGTAGAAATTGAAGAAGCAGAAGGCATTCATTAATTCCATGAAAAGAAAAGAAAGAAAAAGATAGAAAGGTGCTTTTACTTGTTATAAACGACGAAAAATATTTCTTTTTTTTTTATTTGCTTTCCTGACATGTCTCATTCTTATTAATCTTCTATGTTATGTTACTAAGCTAAGTTGTCGGAGATGAACGACTCAATAAGACGAAGGATCATCATTCATGCAATGAAATGAAATAGTGTGTTTTTTTATCGATCCGTATAATTAAAACGGAATGTGAAAGATCAAATAATTTGATGTTTAAGTTCATTATTGTTATCTTCTATTGATATCATTCATGAAACGATAACTAATACATTCATCTTCTGCGTTCTTTTATTTTTCTTGTTCTACTTTCTTTTTCGTGTTCAATGAATTTTATTGCAGTTACATTCTTCTTTCTCACACATCTATGTTTTTACTGACTTCCGAGGGAATTTCTTATGTTTGTATGCTTATATGTCAGAACGTGAATGATGAAGGATATGTTAAGCTCTACTCAAAAGAAACTAGGTGTTATAAAAAAAGGTGTTGATTAGCTGCATAGAAAGGAGAAGAGAGCAAAAGTGAGATTGAGAAATATTAAGGTACATGTTTATGTTTGTATAAAACACATAAGATTTAACATCTTTCAATATTATCAGTTGTATGTTACATTTTATTTCATATTATATTTTCAAAATAATTAATATTTAAACGAATATTTATATGTTCTTTTTTTGTCATTATTTAGCTGCTATTCTATATTGGCCTTCTGTCATATGAACTTAAGTTATAGATATTTCAGTGGAAGGGTTAGTTGCTAAAATTTATGAGATCTTTCATATAAAAATGTGGTTTCTTTCTTTATATATTCTTTTTTTTTTAACATTCAGTATTATATTCATGTTGAATGTTGTAATGTAATCTTTTTTTTTTCCTGCTTTGTTGTTCTTCTCCTCCTTTATATACAAACGTATATGGCCAGTATGTCACGTCATCATTATTGCACTATATATATATATATATATATATATATACATATATGCAAAAAAAGTAAATCAGCAATAGTCTTGATTGAGAAATAGTATTCTTCAACTAGTAGACATCTGCTACTTGCTTTTCCTTTATCCTTTGTTCTTTCTTTCTTTTTCTATTGAAAGAATCCTTGAGGCGTGTGAAAAAGTGACACATATAATAGTACAAGATTGATAGAGGAGTGTCTATTTTGGAGTAACATCTTCGACATGATAAAACGTCGTTATTTGTTTTTTTTTGCCATCGATAAGAGACCGATTATTAACGTACACTTATTATAAAGACTGAATGTTTATGATTAACTTCGATCTATCAGAGATGTAGACAAAAGAATTTTTTTTATGCATCAGAATATTAATAGATAGAACAATAAATGGAATGACAAGAGAAACATCTATGAGTAACAAACAAGTAAAGACAAGAGAAAGAAAAAGAAAGAGAGAAGATTGCTTTGCAATTATCTCGATATTTGGCGAAGGTCACTGGAAACAGAACACGACACAAGACAGACAAAAGCACCATTAGTATTTGCTCGTTTTCTTGCATGCCAGAGCTTTGTGTAAAGAAACCAGTCAAAAAAAAAAAAGAACGAGGAAGAGAACGGATGAAAAACACGACTGCCTTTAGATCTATTTGTGGTACCAATCGCATGAACAAAGAAAACATAGAAAATGACTTTGAGTTTTACGCATGAATCAGTATTATTATTTATGTTCTTATAGTCATTATTATCATTTTTTTTTCTTCTAGTATGTCCGACAATGAAGTCAACTACAATTATCGTTCTATAAGCAATAGTTATTCAATAGATTACATGCAATTTATTTTAATCGACCATATGAATAAGAAAAAACATCGTATATAAACAATGATGGAAGAATAAGATTATAAAATAAAATAATATTATAATGCTTGGTAAACCAGTTGATACGATCGTAATTACATCCGATACATTTGATCGAGTACCTAGTGATAGGTAAAATATATATTATTATATGAAAATTTTATGTTAGTTTTTTTACTGAAAAATAGATGTTTTTGTGTCTTTTTGGCATTTGTCATCCATGGCCTTGGTTGTTTTTTACCATGGAATCTATTATTTCATAGTTATGAAGTAAGTCGATTAGTATATTCACAAATTTAATCAAGTTTTTTTTTTCTCTTAATATCATTAAATTGTATTCAATTATCTTTGCTTTTGTTTGTTATTATCTATATATAAAATTGAAAAAACTATATTTCTGCATATAGATATTAATAATAAAATAATTTTACTAATAATTTTTGTGCTTATTTTTTTTTCTTCTCTATATTATTTAGTATTTTGTTTGTTGCAAATTTCTTGGTGATGATTCGGATATTTATCGCCAATATTTTTTAAGTTTTTGCGCTTTAGCTGCTCTACTTGCGGCTCTAGTTTCTACTGGTATTGGCCTTTTTATTGGTTTTCAGTAAATATTTTTTTTTTTTTTATCAAAAAAAAAAATAAAAGAAATTACACTTCTAATTTTTATAGTGGCGATACAAAACGGCGTGTTATTCCGTCAATTGTTGTGCTCATTATTATGTTCATTCTGCAGGTGCTTTTTGCCGTCTTCGATGCTCGTGATTGTAAGAAGTGTTAATAATTTTGTTTTCATTGACAAAACAAAACTTGAATATTTTCTTTTATAGCCTCAGGTGTTTTTCTTTGTATTACAATTCTTAATATTGTAGTTATTGGAGGTAATATTATATATTATAATAGTTTTCTTTTCCTAACTTTATTATATCATTAAATAGCTTTTATTGGTCTTTATCTATCAAGTGTCGCAGGCATTGTTGCATATTTTCCTGATCGATATGTGAATGCTCTTGTCATAGGCACAGTAGGTGTGAATTATAATATGATAACAAATTAACGATTGAAAAATCATTCCTTTTTCTCTTTTGAATACTTAGTCACTTGGTATTTTGATTGCTATTTGTAGTAGAATTGGTTTTAAATACTGTAAGTACATGTAAAAAAAATAATAATAATATATACTTATAAAAATGATTTGATAATATTCATAAAAAGAATACTAGACAATGAATGTTCAGAATATGATAGAACATCGAAGAATTTTTATTCTCTGTATTTAAATGAAAGAAAAAGGGATGCTTTCGAAAGTAGTGATTTATCGTGTAATTATAGCAAAAGGAAGTATCAAAATATTTCAAGATGATTCATATGTATATTTTTACGAAAAATTCGAAATATGACTTTTTTTAAAAATGAATCTCATAATATTGTAAAAAGAAAAAGTTGCTATATATATAGATTGAATGAACTCTTTTTATTAAGTTCTATTAGACGGAAATCCCGATTGATCCCTTGTTGCAATGAAAAGACAATAAATGTAACTTTTCATAGTTAACTTTGAGTCACAGAGGAAATCAGACGCAATTGAATATTTCCGAGGTTCATTCTAATACTTAAGTAGTTGCCGAATAATCATTTAAAATAATGAAGAATACTTGATAAAACACTTAAATATCTTCTAGTTATTGAAGAGACAAAGTTTGTTATTTTACTTTTCATACTAATTGTATTAGCCATTAGTTTTTCCATTTTTTTAAATGCTTTTTTTCTTATCTAGACACGAATGATCCAAGAGTGATTGCAATTTATTTTCTTGTCACAGCTGTCGTCACACTTCTTTTTTGCTTTGATGTTTATTTTGCTTTTCCCTATTCGGTTCGTACGATAATATTCAATTTATTTTTTTTCTATTTATATAAATTATCTATTAAAATAGCGTTTGTTTCGATTTTATCATACATCAATTAAAATCGATCTATTACATAAAACAAAAGGACATTTACTTCATGTTCCATATGGAAACGTATTGAAACAAGTATATAAAAAAAAAATTTTTTTTTTTTCTTTTTTGGTATTATTATCATTGAAAATAATATTCTTACTTTAGATTTGGCTGCAATGTTTCTCGATTTGGTTACATTATTTGTCGACAGTAACTATTTTTCCGAGTATTCTCATTCAAGTACAAAGTGTAACACCAAACTTTTTTCATACGAGTAAAATAATTCATAAATACAATTTATTGTTAAAAGAACTTTCATTTTGTTATAAATAGATCTTCAGTTTGTCGATGCAGTTGTTTTGATCAATTTTGCTTTATTTAATCTTCTCGGAAATTTTCTTGCAGGTTGCGTTAAAAAAGTAAATGATTAATTAAATTATTTCAATTATATGAACATGTTTGTTTTACTTTAGCCATATTCACGATGGATATCATTTTTGGTTTTTATTCGTGCAATTCTAGCATTGATTATATTTCTTTTTGTTAATTTTGAACCAAATTCAAGACATAATGTGCCAGTATTGATTCGTAATGATTATGTTTTTATGTCACTTGTCATTGTCTTTGGATTTACGCATGGATATTTAAATTCAATGATACAAATGTTAACAACGAAGTAAGATAAGAAATCATTTTTCTAGATGTTTAATAATTTTTTTTTTTTTTTAAATTATATTTATAGATCTGTCGAACCATATCTGTCAGCTACAACAGCTGTTCTATTACAATTATTTATATTTGCCGGTTGTTTTTTCGGTATTATTGGTTCATTTGTATATCACTTTATAGCAACATTGTTTTAATCAATTTAAGGTATCAGACTTGTTTGTTTTTTAACTTAATTATAATAAACTATTTGACAAAATAAAACATAAGAAACTAATTATATAACTAGTTAACTTTGTAAAATACATACGACTCTACTGATGAAATACATATTGATATTACAAAAATTAAATTAGGATATAGAAATAATATAATAAACCTACAATCATATCTCTAGAGAAAATTACACTTTATTCGATATCAAAGACAAGATAATATATGAAAATTTAGACATGCGATCAATCATACTATCACCATCGTATAACTATCATGTAACATGTATGTAAGTAAGATCAATAATCTCAACACATTAGTATAGCGAACGAATAAATATATCTCAATGAAAAATCTTCATAATTGATATTATGTGTCTATGTACCTGATAAAAATCTAGTACGTACATACAAAAAATTACAAATCTTGTCTATCCATTGATTATATCCAAATAATAACAGATTGAAATAAAAAAAAACATAAAACTTATGTTACATCAAACTTGTTATATTCACAGGGCAATGGATGCAATGATAATAGGTCTTGTTGCTGGTAAATGACAACATCTAACATTTTTGTCATTGTTTGAACAAATGGTCGATTAGGATCAAGCTTATGTAATTATTCGAATATATTTTTCGAAACTAAACTGTCTTTTTAACCATGAAAAATAAGGTAGACTCGATCACAATAACGTAAACATGATGATGTCTTCTGTGGTTTTTCATACTTTTCAAGATAAAGTGGACCGCATATGGATCATATTCACACAATGTATGATTTGCCTTAGCTTTTCACAACATAATATTCATTGCTGTTTCATCACAAGTAGCATTTATGAAAGCTTTGCGTTGCATAAGTATTAAAACATTGCAAATAAATGGATAGTTTTGATACGTCCATACAAAGGTACCATGCATATATGGTGTTGTTCGATGTTTTACTTTATATTCGTCCATATAGAATCTATAGTTTCTCAGATCATCTGGATGTTTAGGTACCAATGAAAGATCATATGACCATACTTGAAATATATCAAAAAGTAGATTAATATTATATTTAACAACAGAATTAATTTCAAGTTGTATATCATAGTTTACGTCACTGAAAACAATAGGTAAAAGTTTACAAGCAAATATTGTTGGACCACAATCTTTTTGTGATATTCATTCTATTATAATACATGAATGTCGTGTAAAATTGATTAACAAATCAAAATCAATCGAAAAAACAATTACTGAACATGTGAAAAATAAATGAATAGAATAGAGAAGTATATCAAGTAATTCGAGATAATTTTGTCGTGAATTTATAAAAGTGACAAAAGCTTATTTTAGATAATGACTTCGATTGATCGAACGTCGAGTATGTGTGAAAAGAAACTTAATATATAATCTGTTAAAGAATTATTCCATCACTGAAAGATCATTAAACAAAGTAGAAAGATTAAAAAAAAATCGAATGAATAGAGATTTTTTTTTTTGCCGACATATGATCGATTGATTGACATATGTCTGATAAAAGTTTACAGACTGTTTTGAATGAATACTTTTTACTAGACAAAATTCGTCTGTTCTGCATTAGACATTGGTTGTCAACAAAACTCACATGGCATTATGGTAGAGAACAACTATACAAACGTTCGTTTGTTTATTTTACGTTACATCTTTTCTTTCCATCAATAATAGTGTAAAATGAATGAATATTTTAATTCTTTGATTTTGTTTTAGTGATTATTCTCTTTCTTGTAGAAAAAAAGATCACGAATTCATTTCTTTCTTTCTTATCATTATATATAGTTTTTGTATAAAAGTCTTTGTCATTGAATTTCTTTAGAAGTTATCAATACTATCGTTTCTTAATCATTATTATGCATTAGCTAACAAGACCCATTGAAAGATTGTTCATAATATTGCTTAAAAATTGTTGTTTGGAATTTTTACTTTACTTCAAAATAAGTTTAATATTACGATTAATTAGGGTTCAATAAATTCTGCTAAATTTATTCGAACAGATTGTGATTGAGCAACTACGTTGTTTGAAAAGTATCTGCAAGGTGCCATATGCAAACCTCAGTATCACCAGCCATGAAATGAACCTGGCAAAATCACTAACAACTGTTTGTCTTGAATTACCTATTCGATAGCATGTTGTGTAGAATGTGGTATACACCTGCTCTTGTAACAAATATGTGGTTAGACAATATGTATGAAGAGCTCAAGCAGTTCAGCTTAAGAACTTTGCGTCAGGCTGGTCTTCTGTCCAGAGCTACAGCTAGCTATATTTGTAGAGAAGATGTCGAACTATTGAATTTATCGCTAGGCAGTATCCCATATCGCAATGTAGCTAAGAGTCAGAGATATTCTTCCTTCTTCGAACAGATTAATTCTATTTTAGAAAGGTAATGATATCTATATAGTATTCACAAACATTGTCTTGCAACTTTGAAATTCTAGTTTAAATGGTTAAATTTGAGAAAAGATGACGTTGATTGAAGCGCAAATATGTAGCACAGAATTATTGACTATTGCTTCTGATCTTTCACAGAATGATAAGTTTCAATATGCATGCGTTTTACCGCAAAGTTTTTTAGAACTCTAAAAATATCTAAATATCATCGAAGGATATGCTTTACTACATAATCGCTTTTACGTTATACTATTTCAATGCAGCAAACTTGGCATTATGGATAATATGCATTTCGCAGTGAACTTTCGACAATTTCTCAAACTTCATTGAGAAAGATACTACAGTGAAATTTATGTTTCTCGATATAATATAGTATATATTTGTTAACCATTGCTTAAACATCCGACTACTTTCTTTTCACAAATAAAAAAAAAATACTTAAATAATATCAAAAAGCAAAGAACAGCTTTTTTTCGTGAAATTTTGTAAAAAAAAAAAAAAGTGTTTTATATATTCTTCTTTATCGTTAATATAAACTGCTAAAAAAATAATTATTATAAAAACGTATCAGTTCTTTATTTCAACAAACGAATATTACCCATGTAGTAAAGACTAAATTATATAAACCGAATCACGTTAAGTCTTGGATAATGCATCACAAAAACCAATCATCTCACTAATTTGTGTTCGCATAAGAGTGGATGAATAGGTGAAGGTTTGCTATCTGGATAGCAACATGTTACACTTGTATCATTAATATGTTTCATGCCACCCATACCAAATGTTTGTATAGGTGGTTTACCGGCATTAGCTTTAAGTTGATTTAAGAGATTATATGAAATATTGTATTCTTTGCAACCATGTAATGTAACAAAAGCTGTGTAACAATAATTTGAACAATTTACTATCGTAGGCCATTTTAGGTAAGCTTCAGCATAAGTGAAATAAGGGTCTAAATAAATAGAAATAATTAGCTTTAATATTAATTTTCTCAAAATGATTGTGTCCGATTCTAACTTATACTCACAATAAACAACAATATTCAAAATTTGAATGATTTGTGGTTACAGATTATGAGAGAATACGTATTAAACATAGAATAGGAGCACGGTTTCGATTTTAATTTTGTATTCTGAGTTATTTGAAGGTTAATTGGAGTGGAAACAGATAGATTTGTTTTCGTTAGATTTTATGCATTGATATCTATTTTAAGTAGCTGCATATTGTACTTTATGTTAACATTAATAGAAAATACTTTTCATTATGGGCTGAATTTTACGTTCATTATTCAAGTCAGAGTTTTATTTAATTACTCTCAAAAAATCTTATAAAAGTGAAAATTTCTTTGTTTCTATTGTGGAATAGATATTATCGTCCTTTCTCTTAGTTCTAATTCATATCGCTACTGAATACAAATATGCCAATACATATATGCCGTGTATCATGTCTCTACCAATCATAATATAATGTCAAGTGTAATATTTAGTTTCATTATCAGTAATTCTCATCAGAGATGATGCTAATGAGATGGAACAATCAATAATCTTTAATTAGTATTCATCGAACGACTTTCTGTCAATCTGTAACTAGTTTCCATATATTATTCAACCTTTCAGTATTGTTAAATAAAGAAAAAACTTCAATTCTATCTCACTGTACAAACTACCTGTTAATCCTAAAGTACAGATATTAAATTTTTAGTAAACGCTCAATTTTGTTTTTCTTTAAAATAATCGATTATAAAAACAAATATGAGATATTCTGATGTATATTGCATACACTTCTAATACGATTGTTAGAATAACAAAATCTCTTACCATATTTGCATAGTGTGTGATTAGCTTTCTCTTTCCATAACATCACATTAACAGCTGTTTCATCAAAATTGGATCCTTGGAAATTACCTTGTTGTAAAAGAGATCGAAGATTTTTTAAAAATGGTATAGCAAGATAGTTCCAGATAATATGAGCATGAATATATGGTGTAGTACGTGCCGATACATTAAATTGTCCCATAAAATGATGATAGTTTTGTGGATCATCTGGATGACGTGGAGACAATGGTAATGGATAAGGCCATACATGAAGAACATCAAAGAGTACGTCAACGTTATAATTCACAACATCATCTGTTTCCATTAGAACACCATATTCAACATTACTACTAACAATAGCATGTATTTTACAAAAAAAGACGGACTAAAAATAATAACAACAAAGGATATGTGTTAATATGTTTGATAAAGGAAATATTCTATCTTACTGGTCCACATTCACTTTGTGCTATACGTCGTTTAATAACACGAGGATATTTTTTTTCGTCAATATCAGGATCAACATCAATTCCAAAAACTATAATAGGTCGTGTTGAAAAAGCATGAACAGAATCTAATAAGACGTTGAGTAATGCTAGATAACTTGGCTGATTGTTACAAAATGTTACAAAAGCTTCTTTGGGTTGTTGAGATATGTTTGCGTTTTGAGTAGTAGATAATGTACTAGTAACAATAGTAGTAGTAGTAAGAGTAGTTGTCATTATTGTTCCGGCTGAAAACCCGCTTTTTTCAGAGGTAATCAATGGTGTTATAATAGATTTACCAAGTGCACCAGTTGTGCTGATATCATTTTTAAACATAAATAAGTATATCAGAAGAAGCAAAACAACAATACAACAAATATGAAATAATTTTAGTTTTGAACAAAGTATTTCTTGGTAAAAGAAATTGAATTTCGACATTAGACAATAATAAGCAGTGTATCAACAACTATATAGAACGAAAGACCAAGTATGTAGCCATAAAAATCTGAAATTATTTGGATATTCATATAAAAGTAAGAACTCTTTCATATATATGCATAAAGACATTAGTATCCAATAGCTCCAGTAAATGGATAATTAATTTTTTACTAGAAAAAAACAAAAACAAAAAACGACAAGATAGTATAAATTAGACTCTCGTACCATATTAAATATACTTATGTATATCAAAGAAAACGACAGAATGTTATTTCTTTTTCTTGAAACCTTATGAATACATTTTATATTAAAAAAGTATGAACATATCTTTTAACAATATTGTTTTGCAATAAAGTACTTTCGGTTAGTATCCTGCAATTACAAGTAATTATTTCTTATTCAATACTCTAACTATTATGACTTCAAACATCATGTGTCCAATAAATGTTGAAAACCAAATGAAATGAATTAGTTTAATGAAGCCTATAGTACAATATGTAATTAATAACTATTTTGTTTTAATTATCGGACATTTTCCCGTTCATTGATCCCAAAAAATATCATAGAAAAGAAATAAAGAAAAAAAATTAAAGAGAATAAAAAAAAAAAAAAAGAACAGTACTTTGGCTAGAAAAAAAATCTGTTGTCTTCTCAAACGACAATTTATCAAAGATGGTTAACATTGTATTTATGTTATTGTGTGAATCACTAAGAACTAATTAATTCGTTTCATGAGTATTTTATTCACTCTTTTTATATCAAATGTACAGATTCTTTAGGATAAAGCTCATTGGATCTGTTTATAACCTGTTGAAGTATAGGCGTAGAGAGTTGGACTCCCACAAACATAGAAAACATCTTAGCAGTGTCTCTTTCGTTCGTCACAAACCGTGACAGACGTTTTTTGATATACGATCACAGACCTTATAATCTGAACGTCTTGTTCTATTGTATATGAACTATTTCCTTATTGCCTTTTTAGCAGATAAAATAAAAAAATGATGAAGAAAAATGTCCCAAAATAGATGGAATAAAACGATAACCTTGTGATTAGAAACAGTAACTGCATCGTGTTTTACGTTTTGATTCTGTAGGGGATGCGTCAATAACTTTTAATGATAGATAAACAAATGCTATATCAAAAACTAAACAAAAAAAATCGAATATCATCATTAGAATTCTATAAAATGGACTGATGCTTTTATCACTGATAACGGAGTATAAATAGTTCATAATTAGACAACAAATCCTAAAAACTCTGCTTTGAAGTGTATCTTAATTTCATGAAAGGATTCTGATTATCGATCATTTATAAAACAGTTATTCTGCGATTGTTTTGCCGGACAATCTCCAACTAATATCAGAAGTTCATTTTTTTCGCTTTTCTGTATATACAAAAACTTCAGTCGTAGAAAAAATGAGCTTTTATTGAGAAACTATATGTTGTTTTCCACAAGCTCGGTGGCAATTAGTACTTTTTTTTTTTTTTTACCAAGGTCAATGATAATATCTTGCAGCAATACTTAATTGTATTTGTCATTTCTTTTTATGAATATACACTATGAATATAAGTTTATGAATAGTAAAAAAAAAGGTTAAGTCCTCGAGTTAAAATATAGCGGATATTATCAAATTTTTTTATTTACAGTACAGTGACTTCAGAGTCATGTTGTATTATGAAAAATTTTCTATAGAAAATTATGTTCTCTAACTATTGCATCTTAGATTGATAAGTGTTCGCTTAATCAAATTTATTATTATTATTATTATTATATAACACAGCAATCTCTTATAAAAGAGAATACATGTGAATTATTACCGTGCCTATATCTGTCCACGAATACGAATGTCCTGTTTTTTTTAACCGTTTTTCGTTTAATGGAAACTTTCTATATACTATTTATACTTATTACTTGAAACCAAGTGCTCCAACATCATTTCATATACTCATGATTTACTATAAATTACGATATTGACATACGAGAGTTCTGTCTTTATTTCTAAACTATGCATACATAAGTGTAGTAAAATCTAATGATATTTATTCACAATCACGTTTTTGTTTCGGTCGTTATATTTTATTCCTTGCTCTCTTGGTAGAGTATAAAGACCATATTCATAATGAAAATGATTGCAGGCGCAACAGTAGTCTGCATTCTATATCATATTTCTCATGCATTCATATTTCAACTGACATGTATGACATATTGACAGATAAAAGTACACTGAATAGGTCTTATTTCATATTTGTCATGTAACGCTGGCATCTAATACGTAGAATAAAACCTACACTTAGGAACAATTAATGTTTCAGATTGTTCCAGCGAGTTCTTTTTTTTTTAAATTTTTTCTAAATGTATTTGTATTTTTCATAGTAAAAGCGTATCTCTTGTCTATTTTAATAGATATGTGAATAACTCCGTTGTCGTAAATTGCTTACAAAAAAATAAAACGACGTCTTATACTTTAAGAAAATGCTTCAATTAATATTTATGGTGAATATTTAGAAAGCATGTCAACAAAAAAAAAAAGAGAAGAAAGTTTAAGTAAAGAAAACAGCAATTGTATTTGTCTATTTGAGATATCTAACATAAAAAACAATCGTTCTGTTTTGCGTGAGAAGTTTTAGAAATAAAATGGATGTTATAAATCATTTTCTATACCAAATTATTAGATGGATGCTATGCACTCTGCATAAATAATGAAGCATTTGCTCTCGTTTATTTTTCGTAGTAGAAAAATATTTGCAATACCATATGTTTGAAGTTTTACCGAGTGTTAGTGTTTAAAGTATATTGAATAAATATGGGACAAAAATGACAATTGCTCAATTATTGACGCAAGTTGAATGTGAAAAGAAGCGAGAAACTGCCAGAACACTTTCTGATTGCTTCTGAAGAAAAATAGAATGAAAGAAAAAAAAGCTTGTTAGTGCAGCCCCTTTACGGCTGAAATGTGAAACTCACATATACTCTCTAGGCTCATTAAATTAATACAAAAAATGTGAAGTGAAAAATCTCTTGTTGATTGTAGATGTTTTGCAGAATAATCAATCACTGAAATAAGAATCTCTCTCATTTCTGTATTAGGAAGAGGATTTTTTTAATTTCTTTTTACAGGCGTCCTATTTTGTGTTTTCATTGTTACTATTCGTTCATTATTTTTTAATTTCTTTTTTAAAATTTAATATTCTTATTATTATGATCATTGAAATAATTGACAAATAAGTCTGTTTTACATATTCATGATATCTACAGCAGATCTTACGTACTATCATATATATTAACCAACTTACAAATAATGATGTTCATTATTTTTCAAAATTATAACTTGATCAATTTCAAAATAAACAACTCTTGAAAATCTGACATCTACTATTGTTAAGGTCTGCAATTGGAGAGGGGGGGGGGGCAAGCAGCAGTGAAAACTTGAGGTTAAAACTTACACTCATTATTTTCTTCGAAAATATATGTGAGTTCCACAATAGTGGTGAATTTGTTTCCTAAATAAATACAGCATTTTTTATACATTGAGTAAATACCTATGATTCAGAATACTTTGTGTACACGCACATAGGGAAATAAAGAAAGTTGTCTATTAGACGATAAACATTCATTTTTTGAGTGTTGTGACTTAACAGATAGAGAACAGTTTTGATAAAACTGAAAGAAGTACAAAAATAATAATTCACCTATTCTGTAAATTTTCTAAGTCAAAGCCATCGAATATGATCCTATCAGATTACTATTTCTTTTGAAAAGAGCAAAATGTGTTGGACGAAAAAGTAAAAAACATAAAACCATTGGAAATGTTTCCAGAAAGTCACAACAATCTTAGAACAAAAAACATCAGGAAATTCTTCTGCAACTGCAATAACAATTTTTCTTTTTTATAAAAAGAAAACAATTTCTTACACCTTGTGTTTATTATTCACTTGTGATGTTTTTTGGTACCATATATACACAGTAGTTCATTAGAACGAAAATCTTCATATGGTATTAGAATCGTTGATATGACGTATTAGAGACTTAACAACAAACAGTTTAATTAAGAAACGTAATTTAATGTTTACAAGACGATGATAAAATTTGTTTTAATATCTCACAAAGAAGCTGTGTTCTATTTCAAATAATAGAGCTTAGTACAAGACTCAATTAGCTTCCTTTTTCATTTAAAAAATCTTTTAAAGAACTTCACTGTTGAATTACAACTACTTTTTCTTTTAGCGGCTATCACTACTGATGAAAAGTCGGTGATATAAGAAATTATTATAAAAGTGTTCACTTTGACCATTATAAAACATGCAAAAAATCTGTTTTTCTATTCAGCTATAGTCCTTCATCCCTTCATTATCCTATTCGAAATAAATAGATCAAAAGATAACTATTCTTCTAGAATGAATTTTTTCAAGTTCGAAAAATTCACGGAAGAGTTTTCCAATGCCTTTTGTTCTAAGACTTTTGTGGGCTTCAGAGAAGATTGTTGATCAAATTGTTTCATTTTTTTTTTAACTAAACACTACGCTCTTTCTTATAGAAAAAAGATGAAGTCTCTAAGATGATTCATTGAGACACTGTATCCAAAACCAAATCAATGCAGAACTTCTATTCTACCCTTTAGATAACCGAACACCATAATAATGGTACATGCCATTTCTATACTAGATCTCCTAACACATTCTATGCACATACGCTCTTTTTAGTATCATTTTCTCATTCTATAATCAAATCCTACATATATCCTGTCTCAGTATACAGAATTTGTTACGTTGCAACGTACATATCCTGTGTCTGACCACTATTAACGCACTGTATTTACGTCTTATTACAAAATTACCTTAAATCCATAAATAGTTATCTTGTATTTGTAAACAGTTGGTGGTTCTTGATGAGTTTCAT